GAAAACTGACTAAATTGCCAGCCCTTAAGTTAAAATCTAACACCCCATGATCACTGTTTGCTAGAGGTGGATGAATAACTAGACCATCCACGTCGTCGTTGTCATGAGTAAGCACTAAGTCCAGCAAGGAAGATCCTTGGGTAGAACCGAATCTTGTACTACCTAAGACATGTTGTGTCAGGGCATTTTCCATGGTAGTCAAGAGTAACCGGCTGTCAAACTTATCAGCGGATCCTGGAGATGTGACAGCTACCCAGTCTATATGAGGTGCATTAAAATCACCTAGAATAAGACAGCTACTGTGTTTACTCCATTGTTTGAGGTGATCTAAAATGAAGTCATCACACTGACAATAGGGACTTCTATACAGAACTCCAATGAGTAGAGTGCCGGTTGCAAAGCTTACTTCACAGCTAATTACCTCACCTGTCCCACTGTCATGAGCTTCAGATTTCACGGAACGAACATGTAGGGAGTTGTTGATGTACAGAGCAACCCCGCCACCTCTACGACCCTTAACCTGTCGCTGCGCAAGCAACTAAATCCGCATAGCTCAGGTGTGTCATCTAATCCAGAAACCAGCCATGTTTCAGTAATGGCCACAATACCTGGGCTAAGGTCTTCTACTAATACACCTAGCTCGTGAAATTTGTTCCCGATACTACGTATATTAGTGTACACTACCTTCAGGCTTCCTATGCGGTCTGGCTTATCCACACAGGTCTTGGAAGCATACGTTTCCAAGACCTGACTATTTGAAAACCCACCAGTTTAAGGTTAGTCTCACCATTTTTACGTCTTGTTTCTAGCTGGGACAAAACTTCTTTTCGTTTAAGTCTGTAATCAAGAGATAAATCAGGTCTGGCTGAAATTCATGACCCGGTGAGAATGTATACATTAGCCAGTAGATGATTCCGTACATCAGGAGAACCTAAGACTACTTTAAGCAAACTATGCTGACTGGAACATTCATCATCTCTTTTACCTATTCCGGGTAACGTAGGCTTGCCTCAAGTCTACCCAAGTCTCTTCGCCTCGGAAGCTTGGTTCCTGTCCTAGACGTCCAATTCAGTATCAACCTCAATCCTATGGACAAGATGAACGCTTCTTCGATGCCTCTAAATGTGCATTCGTCAGAGCTAAGGGGGAGGGAAGAATGAGAGAAATCTCCGATAGATTTTTACTGCCTTATCATACAGTAGCGAGTACTTCTCCTTCAAATGAGTTATCTCCAGCACAAATTATTTTTGGTCGCAAAATCAAAACTTCTCTAACCAGATCCAAAAGACAGTCGTACACTTTTACGGGGGGAGGTGATAAGACCCAGGGTAAACTAGTATAGTACAATACAATAAATATCTTACAGTCACAGGCCAGCCTTTGTCTTTTGATATTTGCGTGGCTCAGTGAATCGGAAGGCACAACGGACAAATAGACGTATTAGCATATCAGTCGAGTTCACTACCGTTATAGTAAATAACAGGTGCAGACATAACAAAACAGCGACGGATTTATTCAGATCAGTTCAGTTATAACAATTGGCGACGGGGTTTTCATTCCGTTCAGAGCATCTATAGCATCTTTTCGACAGTGTTAATTTCATTCCACTTACAATGTCTATTTCTTTGCATGATCTCAAATCCATCTTGCAGCAGAAGCAAGTTCAGAACGAAGCAGCTCAACTAAAATTAATCGAAGTTCTCACTCAGAAGCTGTCCATTCAAGTTCCCTCAGTATCTCATTCAGATAAATATGAAAGCACCTCAAATTCTATCTGTGAGTTCAATTATGATGCAATGTCTGGTCTCGTATTTGATGCGTGATTCAACCGTTATGAAGACGTTTTTCGTATTGAATGTGCCATGTTTGATGACGCTGCTAAAGTCCGATTGTTATTGTGAAAACTGGGTACTGTCAAGCACATCAAATATATTAATATTCTTTTGTTTGTGAAGTTTGTGTCCGTGTGATTGTATGAATTTTGACTGATGCTTTTTCTTACTGGTAACTATGGTCTTGCGTCTTGGTTTTATGTTTTCTCTTCACAATCCTTGTCAATGCTTTTTGATTTCACTTTTGCATTTGACGAAGAAAATTAGGCCCTTTTTTATTGTCAGTTGTACTTGATCCCAAATTTCAGCATGAAATATAATTGTTTGTTATTTTACATATTCATTGTATTAGTAGCTCAGTGATATTTATATTGATCAACTTTAACGAGAGATTAATATATATGAAGCAAAGTTGTACAGAAACTATCCAGTGCCCAGTGTATCGAAACTTACATTCATAATCTATGCATGAAATCGAATAATCTAGAGCTTAATTTTAGTTTCGTTGCCACATCTAAGGGAGACTGTTACATTTTGAAAATAGAATTCCTTTTGTTACAGATAGAATGTGGGAAGTGAGATTTGTTTGCCATCACTTCGGATTACTCGGAGCTATTGTATCTTATAACAGAACACGCAACAAGCAATTTCTATAAGTCTTTCTACGGTAATAACTCCCAACTGCACTATATCATTGCGGATCGAGTAGTACAGCTGAAGGGTTCACTCAAAAGGACTATTCTAAAAGGGACTCAACCGATAGCTGCTACCGTAACGTGGCGGTCGGCCATGCGCATCGCAGTGACCCAACAAGCCACACTGGCTGGAACTATTGTTCCTGCAGGTCCTGCCATGCGATGAAGGTTGTTAGGATAGCAGTTCGACTAAAAGCAGTCACCGACACACTATAGGAGTTTTTTTAACACTACGCTGGGGTCAGTTGGCGAAGTCGTACCGCTGGGGAACAGGAATGTAACAGCAGTAAGGTGTTTCCCTCAGATGACCAGCATGTCAGCTATGCTGTCTCTCCACTCTGGATAGAGGGGTTAGAATAGGTCAACCCTGAAAATTGTACATCCAGACTTACCCTACAGTGGTCTGTAACCGGTGGTAAGTTTACTAATACGGAACTAAACCAAGGAACCAGTTTCTACAGGCCGTGAGTGACCGGCCTCAAGCAGTTGTCCCCTGGGCTTTGCAGTCAAGCAACACTTGCTCTCTTTCTGTTCCAGGTACCCCAGGAATCAACCAACTTCCACGGTGTAGGCAGGCGGGAAGTAACAACCGCCTACACACTTCCAACAGTACACAAAGCCTTCCTGAACATCATTCTCCTTTACTCATATCACCTTCATCATCTTGCTTCCCCACTACTGTCAGCACTATTCTGCAGGCTGGTCAGGCATCTTCATTTCGTTCTGTGACCACAACATATCTGACAGCCTCTTAAAGCCACGTCGCCAACTTTATATTGGAGCATTTAACGTCGGGACCCTCTGCTAAATCAGACAACAGGCCTCATTAGCAAGAACTCTGGAATCTCGAGCCATGGATGTATGTTGTATCTCAGAGACACGCATACAGGACCTCAGTGTGGTTACCCACTACACCTCATCCGGCCAACAATGTAAATCTGTAAAATGCACGTTAAAGGTGTCAGGAGAAAAATGATAAGTGAGACAATCTCTGAAAAGAATGGCACCATAATTAGCTCCCAGGATAGACGACTGGAAAGAACACTTTGATGAGCAGTTTAACTGGCCTATAGCCACACTCAACCTACCGAACATCTAGCACCTCCCAGAAGGGGATATAGACACAGGTCCTCCGTCCCTGAGGTTACAAAAGTTGTCTCTAATCTAAAGCGAAGCAAAGCTGCGGGACCTAATGGAATGACTCCAGGGGTGGAGACAGTCTACTGTCTGCGTTAACTAGGGTATTAGGCAGAGTCTGGAAATCAGAGGAAGTCTCTTCGGGTTGGTGTAAGTCACTGATTATCCCCATATACAAGAAGGGAGACAAGTCTTCCTGTGATAATCACAGGGAGATTTGCTTGACTACTATGGTATCTATAGTTCCAGGCTCAATAACCATGCGTAGACTAAGTGGTGCTCGGGAGGCAGAAACACGAGGGAACCAGGTAGGCTTTAGACTAGGAAGAGGGTGTGTTGGTCATATCTTCACACTTCGAGAGATTCTGAAACACAGGTGGCATACGTACCGGCGTCCAACAATCGTTATATTTTTGACCTAAAAGCGGTATTCGATTCCATCGACCTAGAGGTACTACGGCGATGTTCGGCTGTGAAGGGAATGCTGAGAAAATACATTGCACTGATCAAGGCACTCACTCTGCTCGAACTCATGCAGTCAGCCAGGTGAGGGCTTACGGCGAGAAGTCATCTGAAGTGGTGACAACTAGTGGCGTCCGTCAGGAATGCCCACTGTCTCCATATCTGTTTAATTTCATCATAGATGTACTAATGGACTTAACCCTAACTCATTTCAGTGATTGACTTATTACCATCAGGGTATAGTAATCTTGTTGACTTAGAATATGTAGATGATATAATCCACTCTGCTGGGTGAAGACACTGATAAAATAGAGCAATCTGATGAACACTTTGAGCTGAGCAGCGACCTTCGAATGTTTGGCATAAGATTCGCTCCTGTCAAATGTAAGATGATGCTACAGGAATGGACTACATTGACTTCTAGCTTATAGATAGGGAGTGAGGCGGTCACTAAACGTGTTGACCACTCTACTTATTTGGGAAGTTGCATCAGCCAGTACCAGCGGGTTGATCGTTGACACAATAAACGGAAAATTTTAAGAATCTCAGCTACCTCTCATTGTGCCACTAAATGATGGTATGAATATGAAGTGAGTGGCATTTCAGAAAATATGTACGGTAAAATAAACTCGATGAAGAATTATAAGCATGTATTTTTCTTATGAGGTAACGATTCAAGTAACAGATCTTTAGTTTCATCTTATGAATACAAAATAATTCACTTAACATTAAAAGAGAATAAAGTCGATACAAAAAGAAATGCTATTCCGAAGATACAAAACACACGATGAGATTTTCAAAAATGATGAGATAAAAAAAAGCATCCAGTGGTTTTCTGTTTTTCAGTGGAATCGCAAACTTCTACAATTTTAGGCTAATTGAGATTAATTCTTCGAATTTCACCCTTAGTGTAACGAGACACATACCTGAATGAAGAAAGATAACAGTAAAAAGAAATAAAAAATTTTTTACCGGTTACAAATAGGAAAGTACAGTTAACAATAGAGTTACTGTCATCAATACTGCTGAGCATTTCTAATTCGTACGGTTGAATTTCCTACTACCATGCCTTCCTTTAGACCACATGTCATAATCCAAATGTATAAAGTTGGTGGAAGAATACCACCTCATGTACGCACACACAAATAATTATATATAAATGCGATTGTACAGCTATGTGAATGAATTCAACGAAAAGAGTCTCTTCACTGAATGTCTTCTCTTTTTCATATGACTTAATAGGGATTTTCAGCCACTATTAATAGTTTAAAAGTCACTTGTATACGGTAAAATGAATGAGTAAATTACTAATGGATATTGATGTGGCGTGTGCTACTGACAAGAATTTATAAGTAGTAGCAATAAGCTTGATTGATGGAGCGATAGATTAATTTGCAAAAAGGAGAAGTGAAGACCATCATCTGCATCAAACCGTACGCTCCTAGATTTCTGCAGCTCTTCTTGTCTGTCTGTCGAGTTGTCGTGTGTGTGCGTCGGTGGTTAGGACTCTCGCCGACCATGCACATGGTCCGAGGTTCGATCCCCTGCCGACGCACACCTGATATCTATGGTCGGTCTGCAAAATTTGGGCTACCGATATCACATGCTGAAAATTCATGCTTGTACCAAAAATACGGTGTGGAATCAAGCTGTAATCAAAAATTTAAAAAAAGTACTCTGACACCGACGAATTAATAGTCTTCTCCATCGACGTCTTTACTTAGACTCCAAAAATACTGTCGCAGACAGCTTTTGCTCATTCTTTCAATAGAGTCTTTAAGACGACCAGTTTTGCTGTTGCTTTCTCTGCCCCGATAAGGTTTGCTTTTTAGTCTCATGGGCAGTTGTAATTGAAGATGTTTTTAAATTCACCCATCATTACTTCTCCGAAACCGCCTTGCAGTTCAAAAAAGTGTGTTTTAAAAATCAGGTTTTTTAGACGATTTTTCTATTGACTTTGGTGTATATTTAATTACAGGTCAGCATTAATCACAGAAACCTTTTCCTACATTACTTTCACATTTAATACAGACAGATATTCATACATTTGAAAAAATATATTCAGTTTTAAGCGTTAAATTAATATCACTTGGGGTGTTATGCTAAAACTTCACTCACAGTAACAGTACAAAAGCAATCAACGCCAAACCTGAGGATACAATGAACACTGTACCCGAACAGTAACTGACACTAGCAGCATAAATAAAAGGCAGTGTTGCCATGCCAGTTAAAAGACCCAAGTATTCGGATACAGCAATCACAGAAAATAGACGACCTGAAATATAATCAATTATGAGAACAGAAATTCAGTTAACTTTGATTCATAGCAATTAAACATAGAAGTGGAAAATTACTGCATGAACGAGCGACTAATCAGATACATATATATATATATATATATATATATATATATATATATATATATATTTGATTACAGCTTGATTCCACACCGTATTTTTGGTACAAGTATGGAATTTTCAGCGTGGATATCGGTAGCCCAAATTTCGCAGGCCGACCATAGATATCAGGTGTGCGTCGGCGTGGGCTCGAACCCCGGGCCATATGCATGGTCGGCGAGAGTCCTAACCACTGTGCCACCGACGCACATATATATATGTATGGGAGGGTCGATATCCGCTATTCAAATGTCTAGATTTTACAGATTTCGAATTTCAAGATGAGAAACAAGCAAACAGCTTTGCCAATGATCTTTAGGATAGCCACGTTTATGTACATTTGGAAACTTATGGTGCAATGTTACCTAACACATGATTAGAATGAAAAAGACGGAAAAATAACACCAACTAATACAGCTTTTGACTGTTCGTTTGAGCCAAGCAGGAAGGTGTTAACTATCTGGTTAAGGTCCTGTCTGTCTGTCTGTTTTCGACATAGAACTTTGCACAAATGTGCGGAAGTTCAAGTCGCCACATTCCGTGTAGCACGCGAAGCAAGAGAAGAAAGTACAAGAAAAGCATAATAGAAACAGTGAGCAGAGTGTGAGACAAGGGAGTAATAACGAAGAACAAAACAGTTTCATCGGAGATCATAAGTCACAAGGAGTGGATGCATCTGCGCCACTGAGAACGATTTTGAGCCATGTCACCAATTGTTTCCAACCATAGATTTTTACCGTCCCGAGGACCCCAGCCTGGAAGTCTACACCCTCCTACGTGGCTTAGACTAAGTGTTGTGGACTTCATTGACTGGTGCCAAGTTTTTGTTTGACCTCCGCTAGCTTTTTTCCAGCCTGACCCTATATCCGCTAAGATTGCTCGTCGAGGGAGGCGATGGCTTGGCATACGTAACACATGTCCTAACCATCTCAGTCTTTGTAGCTTCAAGACTTCGTCGATTGATTTCCCCTGTTTACCTAGAACTCTACGCCTAACCTCAATGTTGCTCACCTTATTATGCCACTTTACACGGGAAATAGAGCGCAGGCACCTATGATCAAAGACAGCTAGTCTTTTCATGTCTTCCACTCTCAGTGGCCAGGTCTCACAACCATAAAGGAGGACGGAGCGGACTGATGAGCAGTACACCCGCCCTTTGGTTGATAGTCGAACATCTCGTCTACGCCAGAGTCGGCGTAAACTGGTAAATGCGAAACGAGCCCCTTGTATTCGTGCTGAGATTTCGTCAGAGATCAGCCCGTTGGGGCTGATGGTACTTCCCAAATAAGTGAAGCGGTCAACGTGCTCTACCACTTCACTTCCTATTTTTAAACTAGGCGTCGATGTAGTCCAGTCCTGTAACATCATCTTGCATTTGGCGGGAGCGAATCACATGCCAAACATTCGTAGATTGCGGCTCAAGGTGTTTAGAAGACTCTGCATTTCGTCAGCGTCTTCGCCTAGAAGGACTATATCGTCTGCATATTCCAAGTCAACGAGATTATTCCCCGGTAGCAAGTCAATTCCTGAGTCACTGAAGTCACCTAGGTTAAGTCCATTAACACATCTATGAAGTTGAATAGAAAAGGGATAATGGGCATCCTTGACGGACACCACTGGTCGTCATCAGTTCAGATGACAGCTCGCCGTAAGCCTCACCTGGCTGTATGAGTACGAATAGAGTGCCTTAATCAGTGCAATATATTTTCTTGGAATTCCCCTGGCAACCGATGACTGAAGACTGTTGGTCAAAAATTGTTCTCAATGCCGAAAATAACTTCCAGAATCCATCAGATTCTCGAAATTCTCCATGTACCAACTTATTATCCCGTACATTTCCGCTTATTATAGTTTGCTTGCATTTTTTGTTCTTTCCTTTGCCTTTACGTGTGCTTCCATGAAGTGTGGCGAATTGTGTAAAAGTCTACCTTGAAAATGTGGTCGCTCAGTCAGTCAGGATATTCAATCCTGCCACAAAGAAATGGTAGAAGTATGTAAATGCAACTTTCATTGCATCGAAAACAGAGTATGTTTTCGGCTTTTCTATACATCTAAACTAAAAAATAGATGAAATCGACTACACGTTTCAGTTCAAAATTGAATAAGGTGGATTAGTTACTTTAAACCGTAAAACAAAATGAATCTAAGATAGCATATCTGGATTTGAAATCACCATCACTCTACTTACTTAACGTATTTAAGCTACAAACTGTCTTGTTCATACGAAAAACAAAATCGTCCTATGCGGTGGTCGCCTTTTAGTATTTGGAAGAACTTTTTTATCTTGATAAGATACACAAATGATATACGGAGAAATGAAACACCCGGTGAATAAGATATCACAGATATTTACTGCAATCGTTATTTGTCATAAGTCACAACTTCGACTGGGGGATCCAATATATTACGGTACAGATATGCACAGTCACCAGTTGTACTCAGAGCTACTTATTACAGAAATACAATCAATCAGCATTGTACGACTTTTACAAAGCGGTAATAAAAGCTGATAAGCGACAGTAAATATTTTGCAGAAAAAAAAGAGGAATTCTGTTATTAAACACTGAAAACAAGCAAAGATGCCAGAGAAATTGGAGAACAACTCATCGAATTTACACAGTGAAAGTAATTTGCACTAATTAAGTTGAATAACATGCTGTCCTGGATTCACCAATGTTATTTCTACAGTGACTGAACTACTTGTTCTCTGAGCACACAATATGACCGGGATACACATTAACTACATTCATGCTTTGGCTGACTGGTTTCAATGTAGAAGTTTGCACAGATGTGCAGCAGTTCGAGTTGCCACACTCCCTCCATATACCACATAAACCAAGAGAAGAGGGTAAACACAGATTCAAAAGACAGATAGATAATAAACAGCAATGTGAGCGATAAAGGAATAGGATAAATCACAAAGAGTGAATGCATCTGCGCTATGCATTGAGAACGATTTTGAGCCACATCACCGACTGTCTCCAGCCACTGGTTTTACCAGCCTGATAACCACAACCAGTCAGGAAGTCTACACTCCCTACGTGATTGGCTGGCTGACTGACTGTCTTAAACTAACTGTTGTGGATTTGATTGACTGATGAAGCCATGTTTCAGTTTGACCACCACTAGCTCTTTCCCAACCTTATCCATCCTATGTCAGCTAGCTAACATTGTCCGTCGACAAGGGCGATCAATAGCTAGGCGTGCATGCGTAACACATATCCTAACTATCTCAGTCGATGAAGCTTCAAAATTCGTCGATTGATTATTCATGCTTTAATCACTTCTGCTTCAATTTATTGTTAACCAGATTTTAAAATATTTTTATAACTAAATGTTCTCTACTTGGTATTCACAACATTCCGACAAACAACTGCTTGATTCTTGCCACACTTATAGTGTTGGGCGTAATGTGACCGATCATATAATAACTGAAATAATAACATATCTGGAGAATCTACCAGTATAGCATGGTATATGTTTTATCAGCGCTTAACTATTACCAATCAGTACGTACATTTTTATTACGTATACAGTGACGAATCTACTGCAAATCAGAAATCCAACTTACGATTTTTAATGGGCTTGCTATTAGAGTGAATTTTAATCCAACAGATTTATTGAGAAACTAAATTCATAGGTCTAAAGATTTTATTAACCCCACTAACAAAATAGCTTAATTCATCAAATACAACATACTAACTGTGTGGTGAGGCCAGCCGACCGGGGTCAAATCACTTTTTCAGAACACGAAGGTAAATAATCTAAAGTTAAGACATTTCAAAATTAATTATCTATGAGACGTCTAAAATAATGTTACGTATGCATTGATACAATAACAGAACCAACCTATACATTAATGCAATCGGTCGAGAGGGTGAGAGGCATATAGAGATATTTATCACATAATAATAAATAATTTATTCAGCAGTCAACATGTTCAATATAGTGGATGCCATGTATATCCTCGATAAATAGAAAACTCCACCTACTACTAAAATCGAAAGTTGTGTAGTTTGTCTTAGAATGAGTGATAGCTTATTCGTACACTTAATTAACAGTGTATCACTGTGTGCTGATATCAGATAAACTTACACACAGTATACATTATTATTATTCTAAACGAAGTTACAAATGTATCGCATGGAACAAATAATATCAAAATTTGCATAAAGACCTAGTACTTATTGCATCAGCAAAATAAAAATCAATCCATGAAAATATTGTGACAAAATAGAACTATATGCAGTAGTAACAATAATGAATGCCATTGAAATCAATGAATTTTATTGGATGGAGGATTTTATCATGAGCTGACATCAGTTAGAGAACTACTGGAAAGCCTGGGAGTACTGGACAGCTGTTTCGTCCGCGTTTGGGACTCTTCACCAGTACGCACCCACTGGGGTTCGAACCCCGGACCTTTTGGTTACAAGGCGTGGTCGTTGACCATTGAGCCATTGGGAACCGATCCAATGGCCCATGAATTCTAACTTCTGCCAATTCCGCCGAAAATCCATATAAAATATATAACGCAATGGTAATTATGCATCAGTCCAACTCATTAAATTGTAATGATTGCAAGAAAATGTTTAACAGTTGTTAAACAAAGTGTAACTAGTCATGCACATGAAGAAACTGGCATTAACTAACGATGCTCGTCATTACAATTGACGTAGTATGACATATAAATCAAAACAGAACTTCGCACAGAAGTGCATCAGTTCAAATTGCTACGCTCCAAAAAACCACAAGACAAAAGAACAAAATCGTAATGATACAGTAAATAAACAAGGGTCAGATGAAGATACTGACTGAAGAATGGTTAGCGAAGCATACATAAAGGATATATCTGGGCTATTGTGAACAGTTTGGAGTCATAATACTAAGAGTCTCAAGTCACTGATACTTAGAGTCCTAAATAGCCTAGCAGGTAACCTGTATCTTCTTACACAGCTAAGATTAATAGTCAGTTATTCAGGGCTTTGAAATTATGTTTTAGTGCGACCAGACCAAATTTATTTTTCAATACAAACCTACTGGAACTAACATCGTTTGTCAGTAAAGGAAGTGAATCGGTACGCAGTGCATGTGTCTTAGCCAATTCAATCGATAGTGTTCCACAGTGTAATCCGTGCTTAGCTAACACCATAACTAACCTTATTATTACATACCATACTTACCATATCACCTAACATTAACCAAAAAATATATAGTCGGAAGCCAGTAATCTCTTCGTATCAACGGTGACCGGCTGTCTCACAGTCCATTTTTATCTGAAAAGAGTATAGTGTTTGTGTAACTCTAGAGCAAAGAGATCATTTTAATGCAATATAGGAACGTGTGTTTGGAAAAGTGGAGATAATTTATTCAGTGTCATCTGGAAACAACGGCTTCACTGGCTTGGACATGTGCTATAAATGACTGTCCAGAGGCTTCCATACCAATCTCTGTTCGCTAGCCCTAGAAGTGAGTGGAAAAAGGAGAGAGGTGGTCAACCCATGACGTGGCGTCGTGGAATGAGGGATATTTGTGGTAGGTTAGCATAATGCGTCACGACTCCCTGGTTGGGTCCGACAGAAGGCTCAAACCAGTGGCTCAAAACGTTATCGGACATGGCCAACAACCTCAATCAACGGCGAATATGATGCAATTTTCTTCTCTCTTCCCTTTCTCAACATGACTCGACGAATACTGTTTGGTCTCCTGAAATATAACTGCCTTCTTCCCAGATGAAGTTCTTCATCGATTCTCCACCTATATCTTTACTTTTAATCTATGTTGTTGTATTATTATTGTGTGGCGCATCTTTTTGGTGTTATAATGTACAAGGTTTTGTGTTTTAGATTTTTTAAAATAAAAATCAAATCAAACATGCAGTTTGGGAATGCAAAACATATTCTATGAAGTGCGAATGTTAGCACCAAGCGAACAAGCACAAGTATACATTTGACTCAAGAGATAAGGAACCAGCCCAATCGGATTTCTGGTTCGAACAGCAATCTTACAACCAGCAAGTGCATACACTTATACACACACATACAATCTAACTCTTTAAAAACAGCGTATATTAGAGTTTGGAAAGCTGAAATAAAAAATGAAGTGGTTAGTCACTCACTCACTCACTTTGTAATTTAGACGTGTAAATAGATGATACAAATGATTTCAGTACTGGTACAACAGCTGATCTAAAAGTACAAATGATTAGACCTAAAACGAAAGCAAATCAATAGTCGAAAACAACTACAAATAAAGAGACAAACAAAATCATTTAAAGTGTAGAGACAAGTGTTATGCCTACAACGACTGCCTCAAAAAAAAAAAAAAACACAACAACCATCGATAAGATCTACGAGTAAAAATAATAGAAGTGTTAGGAATCTGAGAGTGGATGAATTGAAAGACGACTCTCTAAATTGTTAACTGAAGAGTCAATAATCCATTCCAGTTAGTTGGACAACAACCACTAACGATTTGACTGTGTGGCTAACATGTGATTTCCCCAACAGGATTGGTTCGGAAAAGTATCCTCCAGGTATACGGGATTAACATTCAACTCAAAAATAAGGAAATTTACAGTCATACAAGACTACGAACAATTCTACAACCAAAGTAGACTAAGAAAAAAAAGAATGAAGATTTCTACAAATATCTGAAGACAATAATAGACAAGACTCCAGTCCCATGAGTACAACAAAATTTTAATAGGTGACAAGCATTCCAAACTAGGAACAGAAGACACAGGGGCTCGATAAAATAAATGAGAGCTATTTACATACTCCCACACTTTTAATCATTTGGTGGTTGGAGGCAGTGTGTACAATCATAGGGATATCCATTAGATGGAAACACAAAAGTCAGACAGAATTCACCTGAATCTGAAGAGTGTGGACACAGCAGATATAGGCCTGGATCGCTGTCTAATGCAAAAACCTTCACGACCAGGTTGACCTGATGCATCATTAAAGGCATTTCCAACAGCTTACTTCAGATTTTCAACAAAAGACACCCTCCTTGCCCAATAGTGAAAAATCAGATGTCCGACCAGAAAGGATAAGCAGGCAACAAGGAACTCTGTCACAGCGGTGAACCAACCAAGAACCAATTGCATAACAAATATCTAGAAGGAAATGGAAGTGGATTGGATATGCGTTGAGGGAACATTCAAGTTGGACCAGCATTGATCACAAACACTAGAGAACCATGCTAATTTGAGACCTGACTGCAAATGTATAGCAAACATTTGCGCATCCAAACAGTTGCCGTACATTCAAAAATTCACAGCTCAAATTTGCATATTTCTCCAGTATCTGCCACTAGTAATGACATCCATAGGGCCAGTTGGGCGTGAGCGAGTGATTTCTTAGTAGATTTATTATTGTACGAATCATAAAAGAGAACAGAAGGAAAATCCACATACTACCGCAAGTGGACTATGTCAGATTATTAGTTCGAAGCCATATATTACAACGCTATCTCCAAAGCAGACTGTAAAGGTGGCAACTGCATCAGTTGCTGTAAGTACGACGATAGTTGCCCCAAAAGCTATAGAACAGAATAATGGGCGTCTTATTTCGTGGTGATAAATCTCTGGTCAGCTTTTCTAACGATTGTTTGTATTATTTCTGTATCGCTGCTTTTATTCGAAAACTTAGTTAACCGTGACATGTACAAGGCTCCCAGTCATAATTATTCTGTGAGGGTATGGAACATCAGGTTATGCTAGCTGTAGTAGGCGAAGTGGGATTCGAACCGAGGAACTGTTAGCTGGAAGTCGAGTGCTAATGACAATGAACCAGATCTCTACTGCGAAAGCATTACTTTGCCCAGCATAAGAGTAGTAGTACACTTTGATTGGACACTAGTAACTGATGTGGTGTGTCTAGTCCTTTCTTTGGTGCAGACTGAATTCTATCAGTCAGGTTTGCAACGTGGCCACCATTCTAGATAGCTTGCCATCACGGTGCGCATTGATTTGATGATATATATATATATATATATTTAGTTGGAGGCAATCGGCAGGAAGCCTTGAACCTATGTTTCGTGCTGGTTGGCACTCGTCAGCAAGGCGTATCTGCACCTTTGACGTGGTAACGTCTTTGACTGCAGCACTGGGTGACGCGAGTTCGAATCCCAGAAGGGACATGAGTTCCTTCAAGGTCGCAGATACGCCTTGCTGACGAGTGTCAACTAGCACGCAATCTAGGTCCAAGGCTTCCTGTCGACTGCCTCCAACAATCTGATATCATATTAGTACGCTGAATAACGTTTTGCATGGGGATGGAAAAATTCAAGTGAAATACTTCTGAATATAAAACCATTCAGCTGAATTAAAATAGTGTTCTTTAAAATAGCCAGAAGTTATTAACTATCACTTTACAGCTGTACTATTAACATGAAGCCTATCTACTCTAACAGTATGCAAATGTAAGAAGTGAATATGATAATTCCACACAAGAGCATAAAAAGCCTACTAAACAAAACAATAACTTACTAACTAATATCAAAATATTGTGGCCGGGATAAGATAACAAGTAGGCTATCCCCATGAGGAGTTTACTAACAACAATTGAGAACATTCCAAGTAATGCATATTTAATCGTACGACGACGAGCACGTAATACTTGATTCTGGACAACAGGATTGATTGTACTCCCATTACTAGTAAATTCAACCGAATCCACTTCATGTACAGAATCGTAACTTGAAACTGATTGGTTAGTAAGTAGTGGTTCATGTGTAGATTCACTCGGTCGATGCTGTTTAACTACTTTCATCCAACGAATGGTTAATACAATCAGTAGAAAACTCTGCAAACCCAGAAGAGCATTACTAATCCCACTAATAAAAGAAAAAAAATAAACACTATGTATACTATTTGTGCTAGAAAAACACAATAAATAAATCATATTAACTCTGCATCGATGCGATTGAATTCAACGTACCTATAATATCCATACTGATCCACTGACCAATTAAACGGAGGTCCCATAAGGTACAAAAATGTATACTGCCCTTCACCGTAAGTAGTTAGAGTTGTTAAAAACAAAACTACAATGACGAAAATAGTAGTCACATTGGCATCACGGACTAACTAAAATCAGAGAAAAGAAAATACAGTTTTCAATTGTTGAATTAAATTCGCAAAATAAATAAATAAAACAGGCAAAAATAATATTGTTCAAAGTAAGCAACAAATTAGGATGGATGGAAAATGAACCCTTCAATGGAGAAAAAGTTTCTCAGATTCGAAGCAAATTTTCACATGAACCATCTTAGCCTACAATGCTTAAACATAAAACAGGAAGTTCAATCAATACATTTTTTTGGCCACTTCATCATCAAAAGCTGCACAATCATGATTTATATTTTAAAAAAGTCAGCATAGTTACATTCCTTATTTAATTTGTCATGGTAACGAATGTAGGGTTTTAATGATTGAAACGGTGTATATATAGACTTTATTGGTTTGAGATCTCATAAGATAAAGTACTTCGCTGATGATGAAACCTACACTGCAGAATCAAAAATCTTACTACACTGAGATAATTGTGCTATTCATACACCTGTCTGCTGAGTTGCTTAGATTAAAGCTTTTTGTAATACGCCATACTTTGCAAAACGCTACCTTCAGGCTACAATCACTTCAGTGAAAAAATCCCTGCGGTAAAACTATAGTCAGGCCTCGAATCAGTATAGTTTTCCAGTGTTTGTCATTCTCTAATTTTAAATAATATTTATAATTAAATACCTCCGGATATTAAACAGCATAAAATGTAGGCCTATTAGTTTACAGTTACCAATAGAAAAATCCTGCCTGTTCTCATAAAATAGGACAATCAACTACCAGTAACGATGTACGTACTACATTATACGATATCTTAATTTCATAACACAAATAGCGCAGATCACAGACGTTAAATAATTGCAATTGTAGGGAAAACCGGAATCACAATAACAGTGTTCTGACCAATTAATCTCTGTCTAGCTTTATAAACAGTGATATGTAGAATAACTATAGACCTGAGACTAATTAATAACTAACATTCACGAAGTGACCAACCAGCATGTAACTACAAGCCTGCCTATTAATCGATTACTTAAATCACATGGATGTTTAAAAATACCAAATTATATGCATTCAATTCATGATAATGTATTTCATTTTAGTAATAAATCACTGATAGGATCCCACATATTTTGGTATTGGCTGTTTAATCTTGCATATATGGTGTTATCATTCTCACACATTTTGGTAGTGACTGTAATCTTGTATATATGGTATATTATCATTTCTCACACACTTTGTTATGGCTATTAAGATAAATTATTTCAATGCTGTAAGCTGTCCATATTGTTGTAAAATGTATAAATCCATGGCTTTCTTTATCGTTGTTGCACTTCAATACACAGTCACAGTCCAGCCTTTGTCTTTTGATATTTGCGTGCTTCACTAAATCGGAAGGTACGACAAGCAGATAGGCAGATTAGTTCAGCGCAGACAGAGCAAGGTGAAAACGTCTTCATTCAATTCCTACAGTTATAACAATCACGTTATTCCTAGTCAAGTGCCTGTGAATACTTGCCAAAAGACAAAAGCGCCTTCAGCTAAACGACTACCTGATTTTTTTCTTTCCACATTAATGTGTTTATATCACACAGTGAAACAGTATTATTATTTAATGGATGATGTTTCGAACAAAATTTATTGTTCATAATCCCATCAATTGTAATCACACGGCATCGAAACTTAAGTTTTATATAGTTTTCTATGTTGTCTCCCTATTTGTCGTAGGGGTAGTAGAATTTTCCAGACGTCTGAAACAGGTGTTGAATCATTCCTATTACACGTATTCGCAGTTGATTCGATAAACAAAGCTTCCGTTATCAATCTCTCCCTCCACCCTGTGACACCAGATTTTAAAACTGTCATCCTATCCCATCCTATTGCATGATTGTGTATATTTGCATGTAGTGCTATAGCTAAGCTATTCTCTAGATTTCTTATCTTATTCGGGTCAACCAATCTAGATTTAGCTACGTTTTTACGTTCGACTAGTCTGACTGCCCCTGTTCTACTAGTTTGACGTATGTATTTGACCTGACAATCATTGCAGGAAGGGTATTAGATAAACTAAAGTGTTTTGTTTTAAAGTTTCCACAGGATCCTTTAACCGATAAAGCTTGTTTCTGTCTGTCTGTCTGTTTTCGACATAGAACTTTGCACAAATGTGCGGAAGTTCAAGTCGCCACATTCCGTGTAGCACGCGAAGCAAGAGAAGAAAGTACAAGAAAAGCATAATAGAAACAGTGAGCAGAGGTGTGAGACAAAGGAGTAATAAAGAAATACAAAACAGTTTCATTGGAAATCATAAGTCACAGGGAGTGGATGCATCTGCGCCACTGAGAACGATTTTGAGCCATGTCACCAATTGTTTCCAACCATAGATTTTTACCGTCCCGAGGACCCCAGCCTGGAAGTCTACACCTTTCTACGTGGCTTAGACCAACTGTTGTGGATTTCATTGACTGATGCCAAGTTTTTGTTTGACCGCCGCTAGCTTTTTTCCAGCCTGACCCTATATCCGCTAACATTGCTCGTCGAGGGAGGCGATGGCTTGGCATACGTAACACATGTCCTAACCATCTCAGTCTTTGTAGCTTCACGACTTCGTCGATTGATTTCCCCTGTTTACCTAGAACTCTACGCCTAACCTCCATGTTGCTCACCTTATTATGCCACTTTACACGGGAAATAGAACGCAGGCACCTATGATCAAAGACAGCTAGTCTTTTCATGTCTTCCACTCTCAGTGGCCAGGTCTCACAACCATAAAGGAGGACGGAGCGGACTGATGAGCAGTACACCCGCCCTTTGGTCGATAGTCGAACATCTCGTCTACGCCAGAGTCGGCGTAAACTAACAAATGCGAAACGAGCCCCTTGTATTCGTGCTGAGATTTCGTCAGAGATCAGCCCGTTGGGGCTGATGGTACTTCCCAAATAAGTGAAGCGGTCAACGTGCTCTACCACTTCACTTCCTATTTTTAAACTAGGCGTCGATGTAGTCCAGTCCTGTAACATCATCTTGCATTTGGCGGGAGCGAATCGCATGCCAAACATTCGTAGATTGCGGCTCAAGGTGTTTAGAAGACTCTGCATTTCGTCAGCGTCTTCGCCTAGAAGGACTATATCGTCTGCATATTCCAAGTCAACGAGATTATTCCCCGGTAGCAAGTCAATCCCTGAGTCGCTGAAGTCACCTAGGGTTAAGTCCATTAACACATCTATGATGAAGTTGAATAGAAAAGGAGATAATGGGCATCCTTGACGGACACCACTGGTCGTCATCAGTTCAGATGACAGCTCGCCGTAAGCCCTCACCTGGCTGTATGAGTACGAATAGAGTGCCTTAATCAGTGCAATATATTTTCTTGGAATTCCCTTTACAGCCAAGCATCTCCAGAGAACTTCCCGATCGACAGAGTCGAATGCTGCCTTTAGGTCAAGAAATATAATGACTGTTGGACGCCGGTAGGAATGCCTATGTTCTAGAATCTGTCGGAGGGTGAAGATATGATCAATACACCCTCTTCCTGGTCTAAAGCCTGCCTGGCTCTCTCGTGTTTGTGCTTCCCGAGCACCACTCAGTCTACGCATGATTATTGAGCCTAAGACTTTAGATACTATATTAGTCAAGCTAATCCCTCTGTGATTATCACAGGAAGACTTGTCTCCCTTCTTGTATATGGGGATAATCAGTGACTTACACCAACCCGATGGGACTTCTTCTGATTCCCAGACGCTGCCTAGTACCTCAGTTAATCCGGACAGTAAGCTGTCTCCACCGTACTTAAATACCTCTGGAGTCATTCCATCAGGTCCCGCTGCTTTGCCTAGTTTCAGATTGGTGACAGCTTTAGTAACCTCAGTTAGTGACGGAGGACCTGTGTTTATATCCCATTCAGGGAGGTGTTGGATGCTCGGAAGGTTGAGCGTGGCTGTGGGCAAATTAAACTGCTCCTCATAATGCTCTTTCCAACGATCCAGTCGTCTATCCTGGAGCTAATTATAGTGCCATTTTTTTCCGAGATTGTCTCACTGATGATTTGTCTTCTCCCACCCGTTTCCCTGATGAGTCCAAAGAGTTGCCTGGTGTTGCCTATCCTCAAAGCTTTCTCCATCTCTTTGGCTTTTGTCGCCCACCACTGTTCACGGTCCTTGCGGAGACTTGTTTCTAATTGAGTTTATGGGTTTGAATGTCAAACGCCTCTATTCCTGTCAGAATTGTTAAGAATTCTCCACCGTAAGGTTTTATTATATTATTGTCATCATGTTATTATCATTATATTATCACTATCACTACTATTATTATTTATTTTAGCTTTACATTTCCCAACATACTTTCTGACTAGTTTATCAGGGTAATTATTAAGTTTCAAAGCTTCTCTTATATGCTTCACTTTCTGTCTCAGACAAGAAATCTGGAGAATAGTTCAGCTATACCACTCACTACTTGAAGTTACACACAACCATACAATAGGATGGGATAGGATGACAGTTTTAAAATCTGATGTCACAGGGTGGAGGGAGAGATTGATAACGGAAGCTTTGTTTATCGAATCAACTGCGAATACGTGTAATAGAAATGATTCAACACCTGTTTCAGACGTCTGGAAAATTCTACTACCCCTACGACAAATAGGGAGACAACATAGAAAACTATAAAACTTAAGTTTCGATGCCGTGTGATTACAATTGATGGGATTATGAACAATAAATTTTGTTCGAAACATCATCCATTAAATAATAATACTGTTTGACTGTGTGATATAAACAAATTAATATGGAATTACGTACTACTACAGTGCCCAAGTTTTACACATATACTAATTTTTTTTCGATTTTTTTTTCATTAAGGGGAATAAATGTATGTAATTTTTTTCTTTTTTTCTCCCGCTTTGTGTACTACATGAAGTGTGACAAATTGAACTGCTGCACTCCTCTCCAGAGTACCATGTTGAAATTCAGTCAGTTAATTCGGTTATTTCATGATATTATTCATTACGTCCGTTATCAGATAATCACTGCTGTGTGGAGATCAGACGGACAGGTAGGAATTCTTTAGTCCTCGAAACTGCTACTTTTTCACTGGAAAAGTTTTACCACAGTCCTGTCAACAATAAATATACTGTGGTTAGGCAGTTCCTGTGTTTTGTTTATAAGAACAAACCTGAATATCAAAGGTGAATTCAAAGACAATATTTGAAATACTGGAGATTATTTTAAAAGAGTAAAATGATGCTTGAGGTTTATTTAAAACAAGCAATAAAGGTTAATAAAGCAGGATTTAATGAATTCATCAAATTTCGGTAGAACTCGTCAACTGAATACTCTACATACACGGATATACTTTTGAAATTACATTGGGAGATATAAGACTGATAAGTAAACAAACTACATTGAATTAATCATACAGAAAGACACGTGCGAATGTTTTCCAGGTCATGTTCAAATAGATAAGGGGAGAGAGAGTATGAGAGATCAAAATTAAGATAAATTGCATTACGCTTCAATTACATCACTTAGATAAACAATTAGTCATTAGGGAATATAACGAGAATTGCAAACAGACTAATATCAATAGTAATAGTCATAATAACAGTTTTAATAGTGTTGAAGTGAGTTAAGATAATCTTACTGATAAAGCATAGTTTTAGATGAATCAAGAATAATAATAATAATGGTAATAATAATAACAATAATAGTAAGAAGAAGAGGTAGAATAATAACAAGTAGAGAATAAAACGTATTACCATGGTAGATTAAGAGTCACGACCATCTCCTTTTGTATACAGAGAGCTGGTTTATAAATTCGAATTGCACAAGCCTCTGCAATTGCAAGCATCTTCTTGTTTCTTTGTTTGCTGACAATGGTAAATGACTTGACTGCGTCGATATCATGTCCGTAATCTACAAGATGTTTTGTTATTAAGGATTTTGGCACTTTGAACTCAGCTTTTTTCAACCATTTTGGCAAATGCTCCATCATGCGAGTAGACAATCGCCTTTCCGTACGACCTATGTATTTGCTGCCACAAACACACTGAAATTGATATATGCAGTTTGAAGTGTCGAGGATTGGCGATTGGTCTTTCCCAGATTGTTGAAGCACTCGCTTGGTAGTTTATTTAAGAATCCAAACGACTTTATTTATCTGATCGTGAAACTGTGTAATTTGAATATATTTATACTTTTAGACTATCATAACCAAGTTGAAATCTCGACTAAAGTTATATGATATGGATATAAAAAGAATTGTATGTACATTATTGCTACTGAAACAAAACTATTTTGTGGCGCATATTAAGGGTGAAAATAAAGTTGAAAGGGGAGTAAACCTAAAAAACCCTAATCAATCAAAAGGAACACATAACTGCAACCCTCAGCTATTAACACACACGCTACACACTCAAATTTTAAGTAAGCCGTTCAGAAACATTCTAGAAACTTAATTTTCTATTAAAAATAAACTCACAAAAAACATCGAAGTTAATTTTGACAACCAACTATTATTTGATTCTAACTGGTCATTGGAAAGAAACTGAACATCATTGTGATTGACATCTATACACGGAGATACATCAGCACCGAGATTATCACCAACAACTGGAGGGCTATGCACCTGGACATTAATAAGCTGGGTTTCCGGTAAACACCAGAGAATACCAATGGACAAAGCACAAAGAGATAGTAGTACTAAGCATGTTGCTACAAATCCGTAGTGATCAATCAGCACACCTACAGACAAAATAAATTTCGCGGAAAGCAGTACTTAAAACTAATAAAAAGATATCACATATTCAAAAGTCTTTCTAAAACAGAGCAAACATTGAAGGATATGTCTTACGTCATTTAGATACGAGAAGTAAACCCAAATAAGTACTACATTAGAAAAATGACACCTATTATTTCTAAGAAAAATTACAGTAGCATGGGTTGCACTACAATCGATCACGAGTTATGTCATCCACTTTTTTTTACTGATGGTTGATATGGAAACGGTTCAAACTAATAGTCACTGTCACTGTACTTTTAATAAGATGAATATTCACTGTAGTTTAGGATATATTCTACTGACTAAATCCAAATACACTACAACCAAGACATTAAAAATTAATGGAACGTTTTATAAATTCATTATTAGAAGTGGTTAAAAAAAATGCAAATATATCTGATCAAACAAAGTTGATATATTGGGGGCTTTGGTAAAATATAGTTCCATTATGGAACAATCTGATGTGATAAAGTGGTAGGTAATTTACTACTACCACTACGCTGTGCGTCGATGGCACAGTGGTTAGGACTCTCACCGACCATGCACATGGTCCGAGGTTCGATCCCCTGCCGACGCACACCTGATATCTATGGTCGGTCTGCAAACTTTGGGCTACCGATATCCATGCTGAAAATTTCATACTTGTACCAAAAATACGGTGTGGAATCAAGCTGTAATCAAAATAAAAAAAGTATGAAATCGGTTAGCAGAACAGAATAAATCACCAAATGCGCAAACTGTTCCACAAGTCATAAAACAAGTATAGGCCAAAAATCAAACGTATACATTGCACTTTGACTATTACCTGTGACAGTGACTGCTCCAGCTGATGACAGAACGCAAATACCATCGTAAACACCCAAATACAAAAGACGACGGCGTTCCAATGATGCCTGTCGATTTTTAGAGTTAACTAGTACTTGCTCTTCTTCACTGGGAATCTTTGTAATATCAGCAAAACAAACTGATATCTGACCTGAGTATGTCAGCAATCCCCGCCGAAACAACCGCACATTAAACATGCCAGAATTAAAAAGTTTATATTCAGTTCAAGCAAAATTACAAAGGCTAAAAAGTAGAACAGCAAAGAATCTCTTTTTACGATCTGAATTAAAATGACCAACTGAATATAATGGAGCTTGCACAGTGTCCATAGCGTAGACAAAATAAAAATGATGAATACACTGCGACAAACTACAGATAAGAGTTCTCTCTACGTTACATAACTCATTGTTTTACGTCAGCCTGTCAATAAGTAAGTGGAAAATTTATTTGACCGTTTACCTTAACTCAAATTTCTAAATATGGTTACAAAATAGGCTAACAAACAATCGGTGAGAAACTAACTTCGGAATTTAAAATTAAACACGAATTTTTTTTTATAGATATTAACATAATTTCTAGAAACTATACTTTCTGAAGGCGTTAGCTGAAATTCGTTAAAATATTGGTTACAAAGTGTTAGAGTTTTATAGCCCTATTTTATAGACATTTCAATTCAAATCAATACTATAATTATTAATTTAGAAAAGAGATCAGACTAATAATTAACAGACACGTGTTTACTTTCACTGTTACATGTATGTGTATACATTTCTTGTATTTTAACACGATAACACTCAAAAGTCATTATACTATACAATAATAATAATAGCAATACTTCATGAATAAATCGTTAGGAAATAATATACGCTGATAGTTATCACCACCTTGTTGATTAGCTTATGAAGTCAGAAAAGTGCTGACTTTAATCTGCCTTAATCTTGAGAAAGTTGGATTAAATTAAATAAATTATGACAAAGATATATAAATGCACTGGAATCCTATGGTATACCTCTAGTCTTGTCAAATTTCTTACTAAATAATAAAAGATAAAAGTTTACTAGTAGATACAATTGGATAGCAAGGGGGAAACCATATGCCACATGAAGAGCCGTAAAACAATACTGAAGAACTTAGCCAAGGAAAACTGTTTCATTAGGTGTTAAATACATCTGTATTGAACAGCAGGTTGACACTAATCTGTCTGTTTTCGACATAGAACTTTGCACAAATGTGCGGAAGTTCAAGTCGCCACATTCCGTGTAGCACGCGAAGCAAGAGAAGAAAGTACGAGAAAAGCATAATAGAAACAGTGAGCAGAGGTGTGAGACAAAGGAGTAATAAAGAAATACAAAACAGTTTCATTAAAGATCATAAGTTACAAGGAGTGGATGCATCTGCGCCACTGAGAACGATTTTGAGCCATGTCACCAATTGTTTCCAACCATAGATTTTTACCGTCCCGAGGACCCCAGCCTGGAAGTCTACACCTTCCTACGTGGCTTAGACTAAGTGTTGTGGACTTCATTGACTGGTGCCAAGTTTTTGTTTGACCTCCGCTAGCTTTTTTCCAGCCTGACCCTATATCCGCTAACATTGCTTGTCGAGGAAGGCGATGACCAGGCATACGTAACACATGTCCTAACCATCTCAGTCTTTGTAGCTTCACGACTTCGTCGATTGATTTCCCCTGTTTACCTAGAACTCTACGCCTAACCTCCATGTTGCTCACCTTATTATGCCACTTTACACGGGAAATAGAACGCAGGCACCTATGATCAAAGACAGCTAGTCTAATCATGTCTTCCACTCTCAGTGGCCAGGTCTCACAACCATACAGGAGGACGGAGCGGACTGATGAGCAGTACACTCGCCCTTTGGTCGATAGTCGAACATGACACTAAAGAAGAAATTACGTTGAAAATCACTAAAAGCAACATTATTACATGATTTCCAACTGAAAAGAAACAACAACAGTCTTACATGAAATTATTGCATTCGAGGTTAAACCAATACATAAAACTCCCATTGCTACACGTCGACCATAATGATCAGAGAGAGAACTAATGATGAATGATGACATGATTCCGGGGATCAATAGAGCAATGTTCAATAGTGGGACAAAATGTGCTGTTTTCTTTTGAACTTCATCTCTCAGTTCCTTATCTGGATCAGGAAGGGATCTAAATGCCGAAAGATTATGTAATTGTAAACAATAGAAATTTCGAGGAGTAAAATTAAAACAGAAGATATATTTGCTAATAACCTCAGTCAAATCTGAAGTGTAGAACTACCATGTTGACCACAACAAAAGTGAACACTAAAAAGAAAGGTTTATATTAACTGGTTAGTTAAAACTCAGTTGCTCACAAAAACAATCTCATACAGGCGAGGGTGGGTAGACTTCAGCCTTCCTCTCGAAATGCCGTCATGTGGTCACGTCTTCATAACCTCTGCTAGGTGAGTCCTATTCCCTGCCTTCAAGCGGGTGTAAGAGCGAATGCGGACGTTTGACACTTACAACGAGACCGGTGGACATGCAGGTCTACCTAAGAGAGCTGGAAAACCTTGATTACAAACCTGAGGTGTACATGAGCACAAGAATCTGAAAAGATCGAATGGCATATGAACCTGTTTCGGTCAGCGGTAACCCAAAACGTAGCTCCTGACGCTGCTCCACTGCCTTGTGGATTAGACTTCGAATCAACGACTCGAGGGTGGTTCCTTAAGGCAGCAAACTGCTTTGGTCTGGGTGTCTGGGCAGCATCCCTGGCCACTCACAAACTATGAGCTTTTATGTGACGCACTTCTTCATGTCCGTAATGTATCAAGTATTGTGATATAACAAGGACACAATTACCCGGAGTATATCTTCCATGTACGAGGCTACCAGCCACACTCATCATCATCACTCGTCAGTCGCCCAGGATACAGTAGGTGCAGACATTCGAACTTAAGAGCTACTGATTAGTCAGCAACCTTTCCACGATTTATATTAATTGACATTTTTTGGATTTAAGGGCAGTCTGTTCTTATTACACAAACGAAAGTTTTATTTCTTTTTCATAATTACCAAAATCTGATTAGAAATATTAATAAAAGAGTAGAATTTGAACACTGTGATACGATACAAATCCATATTAGGTATTTTTTTTAAATATAACACAGTGATACAGTGTTAACTGGATGTCCAGTTATTAACGACTTGATTTCAAGTCGTCAAGTCATCAAGTTTACTTTTATGATAACAATCTCCTAATAACCTTTCATCCTATTGATTAAGTAGGGAAATGTTTCTACATTTCATCATTCCCAAAGCTTAATATTCGTATACATACAGGCTAAATCAATTTATTTCCACACATTAAAAGTGATCATTCTAACCAACAAAACCACAGAAAATATAAAGCAGTATGACAAAACCAATAATACATGTATTTAAAAACTTTCAGCACGCAAGAGTACATCCTGGATATGTACATGAAAATACAAAATATTCTAGATAAAAAACGAGATAACACATACTTATTTTTTGTGGGTGGTTCATAAGGCAAACCTGCATCCCTCAGAAATCTAAAAAGCAAACAAACGCAAAATAACACTATGAAACAACTGCAGAACTTTTCACATTTGATGTTTTGTTCATTAAATTGAAAAATGTTACACATTTCACTATTTTCGTTCGAAATAAAGGAAACTTTCAGTAACATAAGTCAGAATTGAAACTTTCAGCATATTAAAGAGCTTATGCGGTGATTATCTTTTTGTACATAGACTTTTACAAACAACTCTTAGTACTTTTGAGTGACCAAAAACTATTATAGTAACAAAAACAACAGAAGAGTATATATTATGTGGTTAAGTCCAACTCATGATTATATGCAGCATACATACATATACTAGTAGGATGTTGGCAATTGGAAGTGGGTTGATAATACTAATCAACTCCTTTAATACGTGCTACTAACAATGACAACTCATATTTTCAAGTGATAGAACGAATCCAATCATTCAGGTTTTATAATTTTTTGACCAACAAATACTTAGGTAGGCCACCAAATGTCTACCATAACACATACTTCCCTAGAACAAACTCCTGAAATCTACATCTGAAACAACGTGGAATACGTGTATCCTGTAGGAATGTTTTACACACGTTTTACACTAAGTGGGAATAGGGACTCAGGACTTATACACAACTTTGATGAAACATGTAAACATAAACGCAATGAAGATTTCATGCACGTGCACATCGAGAGTGAAAAAGCCTTATCATTAAAATAGAAATGAAAATAATATGCAGTGATATAATTTACAATTTTCAGTAAGAACAGTCAGAGAAATATATACCTTGTAGTCTGGCGTTTTAATTATTTGGAGTGAATAAGCTACACGCGTGTGTCCATAATACAAATAAAGGCAGCAAATGAAGAAGTCTACAAGATGAATGTTTGTAAATCAGGAGAAACCAAAATTGTTAAGCGTTTTCCGACACTTCATATTCCATAGTTAACTTCTTATTACCAAACTTGAGAAAATCAACACTAATTTAATCAGGGAGTAGTCACCCATGAAATGAGTGTTGGTACCATCTAGTTTGATGATAAAATGTACACGACTGAAAATCAAAGCTCGGTAAACACATAAAATATGAGATATTTTGAGAGGAGACAGGTGTAAAATAAATGATATTCAAATGCAATGCGAATTAACCAGTATGATAGAATTGATACATTAAATGTATATAACTCAACCTATAGTAAGTGAACTGATTCGAAAGAAATTGAAAGCCTGGCGACCACATATGGATAAATACTGACAATATGATTAACTTGACCGCAATCTTTGTTTCGGACTTCAACATTTTCGGTCCGTATTACTTGTAGTATAACTTCAGTCAAACTAGCCTAAAATAAAGTAAAAGAATCATATGTAAATTATCGCAATCACTATGCTGCAAAAAGATTCCGTAAGACCTAAAAAACAATATACGGTCCGTACAAATTGCATATCCATCAATAAGACTATGCAACACTGAAAACGAAAATTTGAAAAATTACATCAGAGATAGTCTTAACTAAGGAAAAAGATTGAAATAAAGATAAAATTGCGTGACGTGCGACTTATCTTACAAAACAGCTATTTCCGAGCTCCCACTACGACTTAGATGCCACTGAACTTTAATTTTAACAGTGTTACCACATGTCAACAATTTTGGCTGTAACGAGATAAATTACTATTTTTTTTCTCAGATTACTCAGTCTTTTAAGCCCTAACAATTGCAGTTTCGTGCTAAACTCATTAGACTAGGATTAAACGTCACTGAAGAATAAGTTAGGTTGTTTTTAAAGATTTTATTAGAAGGCTAGCCATGTGTAACCCATACTCTAGCTATATCAACCATCGATTGGCTTCTGCTCGCACGGAAATACGTCTAGTTTCATTACTGCTGACGATACCGCCCAGCGAACTGGGATGAATGGTTAAAAACTAGTCGCATATTTTCTACTTTCAATGATCATAGCTCAACAGTATTGTAGGAGTGGAAGAACCAGTACAAAATGTACACATTTTATGATTGGAAGTCAAACACTGCGTTGGGGATAACAGCGTTTGACAAATAGCAAATGAATATTTTGTTGACAGTTCGTGAGCAGTCAGTGCACCAGGACTGAGGCAACTCTTCACGTTTACTACCCATCACCATAGAGGCTCCGTTAATATCCAATCGCTTTTCCTCTAGTGTTCCAGCAGAAATCTATCACAATTCTTCCACCCATCTGTGCTTTTTCAAATAGTACAAAAAAGAAAGTTGCTTACTACGTAAGACGATTAATAGCCCCCACCGCTTGAGTCACTCTGAAATCCCACATTTCTGCTGCAGTTTACAGCATCCCAGCTACATATCACTATCCCACACATAATAATTTACTGGAAAAGGTTATATCTTCCTTATTAATGTGCAATGCTTCATTACATTCTGCGCTGCAGCGATTCCAAGATTAAAACATTGCTGTAATTTATTTTTCACCCTATGTAAACAACAAAAATATCTATCTCTGGATGCAATAAGCGACAGTTTGTGGGCAGCGAAAAGACCCAAGCTAACAAAAATTCTAAGCTTATTCTAACCTATTCTTCAATAATAACTTTTAATGGTAAATGAAGATTTTATCTACCCATTCTGTTCTCAAATAACGCTGGTCGTGCTTAATATGTCCCGTGAAGGCTATAACGATGCTCATAAAAACCCATTGGGTTCTGATCCAGAGAAGAACACGGATCAGATTCAGATGATAAGGATAGAAGGCTCTTGTGGCCTGTGTTAATCCTTGCAAAATATATCTCTACAGAGATCTAGCTTCTCTTTGAAAGCGTTCACCGATTGAGCTGATACTACTGAATCAGGTAAGGAGTTCCAGTCGTTGGCCACTCTGTGAGTGAATCTAAATTCTGCACGTATTTTAATCGTCCTCGGTTTGAGCACCTTTTTGCGGTGACCCCGTAAATGTATCCTAGAAGGGGAGGAAAGGTTAGAAAGGTCAGTTCCTAAATCACCCTTAAGTATACGGTATGCTAAAATTAAGTCGCCTCTCTTCCTTCGGTATGATAACGGGAACAGATTTAAATGCTCCATCCTCTTATCATAAGAAAGGTGTGAGATACCACTAACTAATTTTGTTCCTACTCTCTGTACTCTTTCCAGAATATGTGCCTCCTTTTTGAAGCATGGACTCGCCATTTGTATGCAGTATTCTAGATGAGGCCTGACATATGTTGGGTAGAGTATTTGGAACATGCCCTCGTCTAATCGTTTGAAAGCCCTTCGAATTGCCCATAGCATTCGAAAAGCTTTAGCTGCGGCTGCATTGCAATTTGCAGTTGTTTTCAAATCATTGTTGACAATGATTCCTAGGTCCTCCTGTTCATTAACATCAGGTAGTTCAGTGTCCCCTAGGGAGTACGACGTATAAGACTTCTGACCTAAGTGCATTACCGCGCTTTTCCTAGCATTCATTTCCAAACTCCATAGGCTTGACCACTCAGCTAATTTATCTAAATCAGTTTGTAGGGCTGACCTATCCTCGTTATTATTTACAGTTTTCCATATCTTAATATCGTCTGCAAATAATAATGAAAATGAAGTAAGAATCCCTGGTAATTCGTTAACGTATAATAGGAATAGCAAGGGGCCTGATACAGTTCCCTGGGGCACTCCACTGGATACTGCTTTCCATCCTGATAGTACACCGTTAACTCTAACCTTCTGCCTTCTATCTATTAGGTAATCTCTAAACCAATCACGTAGGCATTGGTCTAGTCCGAAACCTTTAAGTTCACTAAGGAGACCTGAGTGGGATAATTTGTCGAATGCCTTGCTAAGATCAACAGATGGTTTTTATCTCTGGCCTCAACCCAGTCTTCCCTAGCCAATAGTAGGTTTGTCAGGCAGGATCGTCCTGGTCGGAATCCATGCTGTTCCGCAGCCAACAAGCCATGTGTTTCAACATAAGCTAATAGCTGATCCCTTATAATAGTTTCTAATACCTTTGCAATAATGCATGTCAGACTTACCGGCCTGTAGTTAGATACCAATTGCCTGTCCCCTTCTTTGAAGATAGGGCTTATAATGGGATCCTTCCAGTCCCTGGGTAGCTTAGCCTGCGTCAGAGACATTTGGAAAATCTCCGTAAGTGGAATATATATCATATCCGCCAAGGAAATTAACAGTTTAGGGTGAAGTCTATCCGGCCCAGGTGATTTACCTGGCTTCAGTTTAGACAGTAGTTTGAGGACCTTTGTGTGCTATACCACATTTGAGGGCATCTGAGTGGTGATGGAAGTGACCCAGCCATATCTCTGGTTGGTACTATCAGATGAGAAGACTTCACAGAAGTATTCAGAGAGGTTTCCAGCCTTTCCTTCATCTGACTCAGCCGCTTCTTCACTAATGGTTATGAGTGACGGTTTACCACTGCTAGTTTGTTTAGTTCTACGTTTTGGGTAATGAACGCGATCTAGTTCTAGCCGTCTCTCGTACTCTATACGACTCTTGTTAATCACATACTTACAGAGATTTCGAATATTGCGGTAGTCTTTCTGGGATTTTCCCTTCCTGTCATGATAAATTGGTCTCATAAATTCTTCCTGATTTCCAAGAAATTGTCGAAAGACATAATTGAAAAGCTTGCACCAGAAACCCTAGCCAAGGATGGCGGTTCAGGACTTAGTTGTAAAACTGAGGGTGTATCACCTCCTGAAGCCTCAGAAGCAAAAGAAGCACAGAGTGCCCGAATATCTGTTCCTGCAAAACACAAAAAACAACGGAAATCCAAAAAGGGCAAGTAGTGCCAGTATGGCAACACCAGCCTATGAAATGGCCACGCCAAAGCGCAGTGTGTCTAGTGCACGAATGGCTCCTAGTCGCGGCGAAAACAGAGTGGGAGAAACCGAATCCACTTGGTTGGTGCCGAAAGGTAAGAAGCAAAATAAACGTAAGAAAGAAACAGTAGCCGAGTTTACCAACAAGGTCTCGACGGCTGTTAGTACCGGCCAAACTCAGAAACCCACGCAGTCTAGTTACAGTGTTATCATCTGGAATTTGGAGGAATCTAAGAACACAGATCCAGCTGCCCGACATGAAGATGATCTTGAAGGCGATTGGCTCCATTATCCGGTAAATACTTCCCGAAAAAACGATTGGAGTTCACATAAGAAAGGCTATCAGGATCGGAAAATGAAACCCTGATGCTACAGAAACCTCTCGACGACTACTTAAGATAGTTTTAGGGAACGAAACAGAGAGGAGCACCATCCGCAACAACGCGTTCAAAATTAACGATAAAAGTTTAAAAATAAGGCCTGATTGACTTTTAGAAGATAGAATCAAAAGAAGAGAAGCCGTGGCTGAACTAAAGGCCAGGCTAGAGAAAGGCGAAAAAGACCTCAAGCTATTGGGTTTTCGGGTGGCCTCAGAAACCGATGCTGCCGAGACCTCTCTTCATAAGCCTGATGAACACGTAAATGTTTCGGTGTGCTATACGAACGCATGTAGTCTTAGGAATAAGCTCTCCAAATTAGGAGAATTATCTGAAATACTACAACCTGATGTGATTCCTATCACTGAGACATGGTTGTTAGTGGGTGTAGACTTAACTCTACTCATACCTGGGTATATCTGCATACGAGCAGACAGAATAAGCAGTCGGAAAGGTGGTGGGGTTGCTCTATACATCCGGGATGACACAGGGATCAGATCAACGTTGTCAGAGGCCGCAAGTTGCGTTATTAACTTGAACAAAGGCACTTTAACGATCGGAGTTATTTACAGAAGTCCTGCTAGCCAAGCTGATGACTTCGTTCTAAATCACTTGAGGGCGTGGGGTAGTCTGTCTGTCTGTCTGTTTTCGACATAGAACTTTGCACAAATGTGCGGAAGTTCAAGTCGCCACACTCCGTGTAGCACGCGAAGCAAGAGAAGAAAGTACAAGAAAAGCATAATAGAAACAGTGAGCAGAGGTGTGAGACAAAGGAGTAATAAAGAAAAACAAAACAGTTTCATTAAAGATCATAAGTTACAAGGAGTGGATGCATCTGCGCCACTGAGAACGATTTTGAGCCATGTCACCAATTGTTTCCAACCATAGATTTTTACCGTCCCGAGGACCCCAGCCTGGAAGTCTACACCTTCCTACGTGGCTGGCTTAGACTAAGTGTTGTGGACTTCATTGACTGGTGCCAAGTTTTTGTTTGACCTCCGCTAGCTTTTTTCCAGCCTGACCCTATATCCGCTAACATTGCCCATTGTCGAGGAAGGCGATGACTAGGCATACGTAACACATGTCCTAACCATCTCAGTCTTAG